TGAGTGTAGGAGAAAACTGTTTTTATAAAATTACATCTCACTCTAAAGAAAATATTTGTATGGCTGTAGCCAGGAGTGTAACAAGGGTCATTGGAAGATCACAGGCACAGAAAACTGAAGAGCCTGCCAGCTTTAGAGTTTTGTGACTTTTACTTTTTTTCCTCAAGATCTAACTTTTCCCCCCCAAACAAAACATTTCAAGCCTTTTCCATCCTAAGGACAAGACTCAATATGTAAATCTCATGCTGTCACCCCATTCTGACCCCTAAAGAAAAATCAAAACTGTTTCCAGCCAAGCAATACAGCAAGCAAAACTATGAGCTACTGCCCAGTTGTATTAAGAAGCCATCATCACTCTTAACTCATGTTGGACTGTCCTCACCAACCCCTAAGAGAAAGGAAACCTCACCTCCAAGCTATAGGTGTGTAACTAATGCTGTAGATCTGTCCTCAGCAAGCTCTGATTAAACTGGAGAAACTCCTCTGCTTAGACAAAACTTATTGCTGCTTTGGCAATTTCATGTTTTGTTTACAGTGGCTACCTTGCCTTTTCTTCTGGCAAAGAAACAAAGATTTAGCAGAATGTCAAAAAAAAAAATCCAAGAGTAATAATGCACTGACTTCCCATCAAGTGTTAGAAGTTCCTAATGGCTTCCCTTTCACAATTTAAAAAAATACTGTAATTCCAGTGATCATCAAGTTCAAAAATTGCTTTAAAAACCACGTTTGGAGCCCCCACTGTGCTGGCTAATGTCCACTGTGTTTCTAAGGGCCTTCAGAAAGTATTCCCTCCTCCATGTTCTGTACTGTAAATGAGCACTTAGGCAAAGAGGAAGGAATAGTGTGTAAAAGCCAACTCTGCTTTTAAACAGCTCTCTATCTTTTCCTACTATTTTCTGCACTTCTTCCCCTCAGACACTTTGAATTCCACATCTGATTTCATGTTTTTATATTTTAAATTTTTTCACAGGAAGGACTCTCCCTCTGGAACTTCACATGAGGGGATTAGTGATTTTCTGACCCTTTGTCCATTGAATTTTTTCAGTCTTCTCCACAGAGAAATCAATGTATAATCAGCAATGCCTCAGCATGTTAAAGGACAATAAAAACAAAGAATCCTGACACAGAACCCCTACAAGTTTAGCAGAAAGTGCCACCAGCCACCTCTATCTTTAAATCTCATTGCTGGCTGTGGTGGCGCAGCCCAATCCTGGGGTGGTCTCTAACCTCACCTCACAGTGCACTGAGCCATTTCAGATCACCAAGCTGACACAAAACTGTATTTTTCCTTAGGTTAGCTTTCTGCTGGTGCAGGATCAAAGACCAGAGCCAATGGAATGACACATGGAGAAGCAGGTGGGGGACAGGACAGCACACCTCAGTCAGGGGAACTTGCCAGAGAGCACCAGGCTGCACACACCAGGGCTTCATCCTGCACTGTGTCCATCCAGAATGAGCACTTTGTGGAGAAGAGTAGGACACGCTCTTCAATATTATAGAAAAAAAGACAGATGTGGGTCTCAGAAATATTAAATCATCCTGCTCTGTGCTGTTACAGGCAAGCTTGTCCCAAGCATGGTTAACCAGGAGAGGACAGAACTGAAAGCTTGCTGTCAGACCCAGGAAACTTTCCAGTTCAGACGTGACTCCAGTCCAGGGTTGAAGCTCAGCTCTTCCCTTTGTTCAGGCTCACAAAAGGGAAATAAAAGTAAAATCCTTGACACTACACAGCACACTTGAACAGGAAAAAGGTAATGGCCACCCAGCACCACTGCCATTCAGAAGACAAGAGGGTGGCTCACCCCTGGTAACACCAAAGATTTTTATAATTTCTAGTATGCACTTCAATCTAACAGTATGCTGTTTACATGATTTTAATATGAACAGGAACACAACAGAAAATGCTTCTAAGATAGGATCTTAGTGATTATGGGAGTGTTCTTCAAAACACAGTGAGAATGGAATAAGACAAGTGGTATTTACCATAGCTTCCTCACCACTTCTGGATCACAATGAGAGCCAGATCCACCCTAATTATCTTCTTACTTGACAAAATACCTATACTGACAAAATAAACTTCTATGAGGCATGTTCTGCAAATGACCTTACTCCCTACTAAGTTAGATCAGAAGTATATCCTTGCAGAAGTGACAGACATGAGAGACAACAGCAGCAGTATATCCTGTCTGTCTTTGCTAGAAAGAAAATTACATCTGAAAACCAAGTACCTGGAAACCACCTAACGTTCTGTTGAGTATGCAGGGGTTGTGTCAAAGTGGAACTCACTACTGCAGAGTCAGCTACCTACAACATCTTTAAAACAAATCTCTGAAATTGCTGCCATATCTATTGTTCTCTACAAAACGTCCTCATTACAGGAAATCCACTACTAGGATACATCTGAAGATGTAATTATTAGTGTGATATTTGTTTCTCTTCTAATGAATCTCACCAAGCATAAAACCTGAGACAGTCCTACTATTCATTAAAAACATGTTATTCTGGAGACAAAAATGGTTAATAGAGCTAGAGATAAAAACTGCACAATTGGAAATGTTATTTAGCTGGAAGTAAACATTTAAAGTTCTTCAGTTTAGCTTACACCAGATTTTAACAGCAGGACATAGATAACTTTTTCAAATAGTATAACTTGAGGCCTAAGCCATTTTATCTGTACATAATTTTAATGCCAACATCTGGTCCTGTACAGGCAACACTTAATTCAGTCTACTTAAAAAGAAAAATAATATCCAACTATCCAAAGAGTTTTTACTTCAGGCAGTTGTATTTCAACAGGACTGAATTTAAAATTAGGCTGTCCTACCAAAACCACCTTCTCTTCACTGAGATATTGTTAACAGAGGAGAAAAACCTTCTGCCAAGTTCAAAGGACAAACTGAGGTTCAAGTTTATCAATGTATTTCAGCCCATGGATAAAAGGAAGAGGAGTCCTAAAAATGGCAAACATACCAGTCAGAACTAGGCCAGTGTTGTGGAGAATCTAATATGAAGGCTCAAGCCAGTCGTTGATTAGGTTTGTCCTTGGACATAAGTAGCAGAAACTATGGCACACTATGAGGAGGCAAGGCACAAAGGCAAGGAAAATATAGGCTCAAGAAAAGCATACCAAAAACTGCATTTATTGCAACACAAGTTGCTATTCTGTAATCCTGAAACATGAAAACAAACCTTCCCTAGTGTCAAAATGTATCAGTTTTCCACGGTTTTCACTATTATGTGCTATCTGCTAAAGCTGTTTTTCAGACACTGAGGATTCAAACTATATTGTTCAATTTTATATATATATATATATATATATATATGTATTTGAGGTGGTATTTTTGAAACATTCCATCTGAAGCACTCCAAGCTGATAAGCTTTATCCAAATACATAAAGCAAGAGCCATGTCAAACACACTATAAATAGCATTAATAGTAAGGAATCAATAACATCCAAACCTTTAGGTAACATCTTATTAATCCGCCCTTGGCATGCATGGGCACACTGCTGTAACGGCTCTCAAAATGCAATAGTCAAAGGTGAAGGACACAATTTGTTCAACTAGTTAATGCAACTGCTATTTAACCAACAGAGCCACTAAAATGCCACCTAATGAAATACTCCATACCATGATAAGCAGCAGAGACAAGCACGATAAACATGAAACGTTTTTCTAAGAAAATATATTAGAAGTCCTCAGGGCTGTTACCGATCTGTCATATTTTTTTTCCGAAGGCATGTAAAAGATCTACATTTGACAACAACCATTTTAATCTCTGGTTCTCTCTCCCCCCCCCCACCTCATTTCTTGTACCGCGCCCAACACAATGGTACAACTGCATCTCCCAGGTATCGTCTTGGTATTTATTTCTGCTTTCACAGTGACAAAGGTCAACTCTAATGCTCCAAAGATGCTTGCAGCAAAGCTGGGTGAGAGATATTTCTAACGACATACCCACACGCGGGTTACAGAAATCCAGCCTCCATGAGATGTTTTAATCTGACAAATTAAAATGATTGGGAAACGCTATTTGGGTAACGGAATCGGCCGCCACATGCATTGCTGAGGGGGGGAGCAATAAAAGGTCTTTAAAATAGGTCACTTTCAGCCAAATCCCACACCAGCACCGAACAAAATGGTATATACACTGAAAACTCACCGCTTGGGGAGGAGCGAGGGGCATGGAGGAAAAAAAAAAAAAAAAAAAAGAAAAAAAAAAAGGTGAAAAAAATAAAAGGGCATAAATCCGCGCGGGTCACCGAGGGACCCCAAACCCCCTCCGGGGGCCGGGGCTCGGCCGGCGGAGCCCCCGGGGGAGCCGCAGACAAAAAGGGCCGCGGCGCTGGGCACGCCTGGCCGCGGGGCCGGCCCCGGCCCCAGCCCTGGGCCTCCGGCGGCCCCTGACAGCGGGGAACACCCCTCCGCCCGCGGCCGCCCCTCCGCGGGAAGCGCCATTTCGCCGCCCGCTCCCCCGCCGGTGCTCGGCGGGAGGGGCTGGGGGGAGCGGGCTGAGGGGTCCCGGGCGTGAGGGGATATCCGAGGAGGGGGTTTAGTGCCAGGGTCGCTGTGGGGAGAGGGCGTTGGTCTGGTGGGCTCTTGTGAGGAGGGGGCAGCCGGCTGTGAGGGGTAGTGTGAGGAGGAGCCCCTGGTGTGAGGCGAGGGTAACCAGGTGTGAGGGGTTGTGTGAGGAGGAGCCCCCGGTGTGAGGGGGCTCTTGGGGAGGGGTCATTGGTGTGAGGGGTTGTGTGAAGAGGAGCCCTTGGTGTGAGTGGGCTCTTGGGGAGGGGTCATTGGTGTGAGGGGCTTTGTGAGGAGGAGCCCCTGGTGTGAGGAGAGGGTAACCAGGTATGAGGGGTTGTGTGAGGAGGAGCCCCCGTTGTGAGGGGCTTGGTGTGAGGGGCTTTTGGTGTGAGGGGCTCTTGGGGAGGAGTCATTGGTGTGAGGAGGAGCCCCTGGTGTGAGGGGGCTCTTGGGGAGGGGTCATTGGTGTGAGGGGCTCTTGGGGAGGAGTCATTGGTGTGAGGAGGAGCCCCTGGTGTGAGGGGGCTCTTGGGGAGGGCTTGGTGTGAGGAGAGGGTAACCCGGTGTGAGGGGCTTTTGGAGAGGGGTCGTTGGTGTGAGGGGTTGTATGAGGAGGGGTTTTGGTGTGAGGGGTGATTTTAGGGGACAGGTGAGAGGTAGGAGGCCAGGAGAGAGCTGGCATGTGGGGGTGCTGAGGGGAGTTTGGGAAAGGGGGTTTGTGGAAGCCCCGTGTGGAGACACTGAGGGGTGAGAGGGGCCTGAGGGAGAAGATGGTGGGGGCTGCTGCTGAGGCCATTTGAGCTCAGATAGCATTTTGAGGGGCACCAGGCCTGAGGGAGAATGAGGAAAAATACGTTGGGAGGGGCAGACACATGAGGAGCTCAGCAAAGGGGGTACATTAGGCCTGGACATGGGTAGGGAGGAGAGGTGTAGGGGAGAGGCCTGGCATGGGTGGGGACTTTTTGGGGGCAGTGTGGCAGAGGACAGTGGTTTTGGGGCAGGCTGGCTGTGGTGAGGACATGGAGCCAAGTGGAGCTGCCTCTCTGGCCAGGAGCAGCTCATCTACAGGCAGTGACAACCCTAGGAAATGGTGGGTGACTGCTCTAGTGCAGCTGCCCTCACCAAATGGGTGTATTTCAGCCTGCCCTTGGCCAAGCTGTATCTGGGTTGTGGCCAGAAGAGGGAAAAAAAAAATCTCATGGGTTGAGCACATGGCCTCCTAAACTGTACTCTTGGCTCTCAGTGGTGGGTGCTGAACTTGGTAGGTTGTTGAGCCTTTGTGTGCTTTGGTATCTCCATCTACGAAGCAGAGATAACAGTTGGCTTCATGCAGGGATTAATTATCGCATCTTGTAGTCACGTATTTGTTTATTTGTTTTTACTATAGATTACAGCTGGAGGAATTCTAAACAGTCCACTTCTCCTTGTCATGGTGTTTGAGCGCATTGTGCTCCTGTCTGAACAGAGGAAATCACTGAGGTCAGTCTCCCTTGTGTTTATCGTTGCTTTCCCTTTCAGGAGTATGGGGGCAAGGAATCATCAAAATAACAATTTGTACTGACATCCTGATAATAAATTAATAGAAACAGTTACATAAGACACAAAGTTTGTCAAAGGTGTGTTTGTAGGGATGGCTTCCGTTTTTTCACTTCAGAATTACACTGCAGGCACACTGCGCTCTGTTATAAAGTACCCTGCAAATACTCAATGTTGAGATGTCCCCAGTATGAAATTATACAACTCTGTAAATCCAGTGTTACTGCTACTGCTGAAATAAAATGGATAAAACAAACTTCCTATTTTCCACATAATCTAACAGAAGGCTTTGTATCCAGCAGGTGTTGAGGTGATCCTGGATACGGTTTAGGTGAATTTTGCATTTACCTTTAGACAGGCAGAGTTAGTGGGGACTAACTAATCTGGGATTAGTTAATCTGGGACTAATTAATCTGGGATGGGGAGACACCTGAGGAATGTTATTTTCCATAACAATTGTGGACCACATCTGGAGTTTTGTGAACTTGTCCCAAAGTGGTCTGATACTTCGCTTTTTCAAATCCCTATAGGAAAAGTGAGACAAACGTGGATCACTTCAAACATATGTTGTTGTGGGTATTGGGAGAGGCAAACTAAAGGTTTATCTGATGATCTCAACCTTGAAGTTGGCAGCTTTGACAGGAAACTTGGTTTCATTCATCTGCCAAAGATATTTGTAGTGTATCATTTGACAAGTTAAAAGGCATTTTTGTAATGACACAAAAATAAAACCATCCGCTTTCTGAAACTACAGTTTCTGTCTTCTGAAATAATATGGGAGGCGCGCTTCTGGGGAAATTAAGGGCATGTTTGAAAGGTAAACATTTGTGTTTTCAAATGTTGGAAGAATGGTGTTTAATGTGAATCTGCTCAGCGTAGCCTATTGATTTTAATTTGGTTTTGTACTTGTTTTGTCGAATTAGTGGGTATCATTTGCTTTTGGAGATGGGAGAACAAAGTGGAGCGGTAAGAGAGAGTGATCCGCCCACGGGGTCAAAAGGTGGAATTAAGAATCAGGTTCCTCTGAATCTTGATCTTGTACTTCTTCCTGCAGACAAATTGCCTGTAAAGCTCATGAATTATGAGAGCTAGTGAGGTCCATGGAGCTAACCCAGCAAATGCCAGCAGAGAGTCTGGGCCACAGCTCTTAGTGTTACACACGTGAAAGATAATGAGAGGTCTAGGTAAAAATCCTTAGAGTCTCTTAACAGTGGCTGTGGAAAAATGTGAATAATGCTTTGTCCTTAACTATCAAGTATTTTACTTGAAATGCTAGATCTGCATTTGATATGTATTCAATGACTGCTTCAAAAATATACAGTGTAGTCTGTGAACAGACTGTTTAGAAAAAGTTCACTGAAATTCTGAAGGAACAGCCAGTGTGAAAATTATGTTTATTGTCGCCAGCTGAACTAAACAGCACATTTAGCTTTCCTAGTCCATTGCTGCCTTCTCAAAAGACCATAGTAAGCATCTAGAAAGTTAGTTCAGCTTCATTTGCTAATTTCCTGATGCAAATTTAGTCCACTTAAGAAAAGAACTAAACAGGTTTATATATGTCTGCATCTGGGATTTGCACCAGTCTATCTGTCAGATAGCTATACCCAAAGTTAATTCTGTCTGAAGGAGGTGCCAGAACATCAATAAATAAATATTACAAATTGCCTAGCGGTTCAGCTGACAGGCAGAACTGGTTTCAACACATTGCTCCCAATGTGCTGCTGCAGAGCTGGCCCTGGAATAGACCCACACAACATTCCAACATGGACAGGACCTTTAAGAATGTGCACCAGGTCTCCATGATATTGTAAGAGAGGAAGTACAGAACAATACTAAGTCCCAAGGAAGCTGTGGCAAGAATTTATTCAAGGCACATTGTAATTACTGAGGCAGGGAGTTTGGCCAGGACATTGGGGTTAACACCCCTGCTCCTGTAGAGGTGTCACAGTTTATTTTTTTAATGACTTGAAGTGATGAGAAGCTTGGCTTTCTGTCTCAGCAGAATGACACCAGTTCAAGCAGTGTAAACTTCTTACAGCAATGTGAAGGTGCTGGTTCAGAACTAACTCAGAGCAGTGATTGGGCCTAGTACAGTAATCATTGCTTTATAAATACTTGCAGTAGATAAGAAAGATAAGAGTGTGATTAGGGCACAGTTTCAGGTGCTGTAATTACAGCCATGCCTTCCTCAGCCTTCAGTCCAAATGCTGCTAGAATCTGGCCATTTTTAAGCAAACAGTTGTAAGTTTTAGAAGAAATTGTCAAACTTGAAGCAGAGAAATTTGGTTATTAATTATATAGCAGCTGTGAACAGCAGTTATCAGTGCTTTTTCTTAGAAACTTGTTATCATACAAGCAGAATGTAATTTATCCAGTTTAATTCTTTCATGCCATTGAGATTTTTAGAAAGTGTTCTTTGTATGTATGATGTACTAATTTAGGAACTAACTTTCAGCCTGATTTCTGCTTGCAGAGAAGATAAGCACTTGTGTGTTTTAGTGGGTGACTAGTTGTGCAATGCACAAGTGAGGAATTGTTTTGATTTTACTGGCACATGAAACCTGCCATCATTCCTATAGTGCAGTTTGGGCCATTATTATGGGTTATGAGGTTATACAGGAAAAACATGTTCTAGAGAAAGGCTGGTCAAAATAAACAAGGTAGAGTCTTCCAGATTACAGCAATCTGGTTTTGTATCAGTGATGTAAATGCTTGGGTACATCCACTGGGATGAAGAGACCGTGTCAGGCAGTGTCCCTCTGACAGTTCATGTTGTAAGGACAAAAATTAAGCAATACTGACATTATTATGTAACTGCTTTTGTATTCTATGACAACAATTATAATACTTCACTCTTCTCTTACCTTTTATTAGATGCTCCTTGCTGTGTACTTATGATTGTTCCATGAGTTGAGTGGTTTTAGCTATTAGGAAATGGTGGCACAAGAAGAAGTACTTGCCAAGGTCATGTGGGAAGCAAATGTCAGAGACAGAATCTCAGCCTTCTGACTCTGCCCTCTGGGAAACCAGACAAAAGTGGAAAAGTGGCTTGCAGTGTGACTCAACAGCTTTTCCTTCCCCAACCACTGCCATGCTGGGCAATTACAAATAAATGCCAGTAGGTCATTTCCACCTGAGTCAAACAGGTTTCCAAGGGACCCTGGGTACCATGTCTTCTGCTAGTGAGGGCTTCTCGATGGGTCTTTGCAATAAATTTCCTTTGAAATCTTTTCAGAATTTTGGAACTAACTGTTTTTTTAGGCCGTGACAGCTGAGTACAAGGAGAGTCTGTTCAAGTATCTCAGACTTTTTCCCAACAGTAGAACTGAAGGGGTTTTACTCTGCCATTGGTTCAGAATACCTGCAGTGGGTACAAGGACCAGTGTTATGGGGTCCTTGATCTTGAAGAGTGACTGATGGAAAGAAGCAGCACAGGAAAGGCCTTGGCTCTGGTCCTTGGATGGATGGGTAAGAGGAGGCCTTTGGCAGAGAAGGGAGAAAGGTGACTAATAATGTGAAACTGGGAGGAAACTCATTTCAGTTATGCAATCTGCTGGCTTGCTTTTTCTGAGGGAAGATACCTTTTGTTAGTTGTTCCACTGGCACTTGCTGCTCATGCTGTCTTCTGAATAGAAATCTAAACCAATTATTTCTCTGCTTGACTTAGGAAGCTTAATTTAGCTTCACAGCAATGAAAATACAGCAGCATTTAATTTCTTTGTTCTCCATCTGCAGGATTTCTTTTAGATTTACTTTGTCTCTTCCCTTTATTATTGTTTCTTTTTCCTGGCTGTCCAGTAGTTTAGCCAAGATGAAGAAACTTTTTTTTCTGCTATCATGCACTTATTCCCCATATCTCACTTGTTCCATGGTTTTCTGTGTCCTTTTTGCCACATTTCCAAAGCTTCCATGGAGAATTTTGCCGTGGTGGTTCAAGAAGTTGCTGTTGTCTGATCTAATCCTTCTCCACAGGTTTTCTCTCATAGCTGAGTCAGCAGAAGAGAGTGTTCTGTTCCTGACCCTGCTGGGTTAGTGCTGACCACCTCAGCTCAGACCCCAGCCTGACAGTGCTGTGACTGCCCTGGCCTTTGTCCTGGACTGGCTGCTGTAGGGATGTGTATTGACACCAGCTGACTGTGCTACAGGGATGTAGCCTCTGGAAGAGTGTGCTGGAGAGGATGACTGGAGATGTTGGACAACAGCTGGGGAACTCTTTGAGAATCCCTAGATTCCATATTAGCATGGTGGCTTTTCCAGTGATCTGCAATGAACAGCTCTGCTGTTGACCTTATCTGGATCTTGATCTCCTGTTTTATAGATTTTATAGGTAAAACAACATTTTACATTGTTGTAAACTTGCTTCCAGGCACTGATTCTTATAATCTATAAAACAGTTGTGAAACTGTGGCCCTGCTCTTCAGCAATTCTGCAGTCACCTATCTCTGAGACATTGTATTTCACCCTTGAATAAGATTCTAGACCAAAAAAAGAGTTAGACTGCATACAGATTAACAAATGTGTTGCTAGTATCTCTGGCTACTGCAGCATGACTCACCCATCAGTGCTTGTCAGAGTCTGGCGTGACCTCATTGAAAGCTTCAACATCTCTTATGTGAAGGCAGGTTGTAATCCAGTGTGGGAATCCTAAATAGGTGGGGAATGAAGTTCTGAGATTGTGATAATGCATGCATCATAAACATCTCTCTGGAAATCAATTATGCCCTCACCAGGAATACTCTTACAGATTTCTGAGGATCTCTTGGTGCTAAGCCTGCCTTTCCCTGCTTTTATTAAAAAAAACACCTGTACCATTCAACACAGCAACAGAAATCAATGCTGGTGGCAAAATTTAAGAGTGAATGGGACATGTCAGGGAGGAGATGCTCCGTTATTTGCAAGGACAAGAAAAAGCTGATGGTTCCTTTTTATTTATCACAGCATCTACAGACTTTTCTTTATTTTTTTTCCTATGTCAGTAAGGGGGCTTCTGGTACACAGATAATCTGCTGCTACTCAAACCGAAAGTGAAATCCCTGGCTGTTGGTCTGGTTGCTGTCTTTAGGACACGTGAATGTCTGCTCCTGTTTTGCTGTAGGTAATTTCTGTATGTGGCAAAGTTGTGTGTGCCAGCCTGGAAGCTTTGTCCATGAGCAGCAACAGTTCCTGTCTCTTGGTTTCTCAAAGCTGCAGCTCCTCACTGGTTCCACAGGCCTGCTTTGTCACAGAGTGTCAGTAACTTTGCAGAAGTCACTGCATCCTCTGCTGTGCTTGGGATCAACTCTGGCATCTGTCTGAATGTATGTATGTCCCTCCTGCAGATCTGCTTTTCCTATCCAGACTCTTACCTGGTGACTTTGTTCATACCCTTTGCCTTAGATAGATGGTAGTATGACTTATTGTATTTCTTAACAGTTTTTTATCTTGAGACATGGATTGTTATTATGGATTGTTTTTTATCTTGGAACATGGATTGTTATTATTTTGGGATAGGGGAAGAGGGCAAAAATCCTGAGTAGAAATATGTTACATTCTGGTCGTTCTTTAAGGAAGGTGTAGCAGGTCACAGAATCAGTGCATACATATCATTTGTAAGGAAAAAATAGGCGACCTTAGGCCTTTTTATCCATGATTCTTTACCACAGAGATCAGACAGGTGCTATGTCTCCTTAGCTGTTTTGTACATCCATGGTGAAATCAGTTGATGGTCTGACCAGTTTCTAGTACTAAGCACTGTGCATTGTCCACACAAAATAGATCTAGTTCTAAAAAATATTGTCTGATGTTCTTTGTGCAGGGACCAAGGCCTGGATGATGTTTGGAGACTAGGCATACCTTTACTGGATGATCTGATGGATGCACACCGTGGTGTACCAGGGCATAAGAGATGGAAGCCCCATAAAAGTGTTGTCCATGCTGCGTTCAGCTGTGGGGATGTTGGCTTAAATGATTGATCTAGTATTTGAAGTCCTATTGCTTGATTTACGTCTTGACTTTTAGTATCTTGGCAGACATTTCTCTCACACAGTAAGGCATACCTGGGGTTCTAGTAGAATTCTGCTCTTAGGTCAAGCTCAAACATCATTGCTCCTCCCTGCCTTCAGCTAGAAATGGACAGACACCATTTGTGACTGAATATCCTGAGTCACCGATTCCCAGCTGGCATGTGCACTGCAGTTCCGTCTCTTCCTTTCCGACTGCACTCCCTAGAGGAGATTGGGAACAACTGCAGTCGTCAGCTCCAGCGTGGTGTATGCGCTTGCCGGGATCCACACAATTGGTGGACAACCCCTGTCTACGTCTATGGGGTGAGCTGCATGTGATTTGTTACTGTATGCCTGGTGTTTCTACACCGGAAAATAGAACAGGTGTAGGAATATTTTTCAAAAAAATCAGTTTCTTCATATTTACTATAAAAATATCTGCATTGTGGAGATGATGATAGGATATCTCCATTAAATAATCAGTTGAGACAAGTAATGATACCAGTAGTGCTATCTCACAATAAGATTGTGTGATAATGGATGAAAACTAAGAATCTAGAGAGATGATGAAAGGTGAAGTAGTTACTCCCTACACCAGCAAAATTCTGCTACTAGGAGCATGGGTCCACCATGCAGGAGCTGATAGATTATCTGTTGTGTCAGACACTTTTGTGCTGTGTTTGTTATCCTGCTTGTGCAGTGTCCCAAAGAAAGGCTGCTTAAGCTCAGCAGGGGAATTATGCAACATGTTGCTGTGTTATTTCATCTGACCAAAACATTTTCACTGTGTAATGCTTGCTGCTAGTCTTGTGCATAGCTCTGGGGGAAGCTGAAACACAAAACACTTCATTGAGCTTTTTGATCCAACAGGTCTTGACATATTGCTGCTGGACACATCTCTGTGTCTGGTGTGAACTGTGACAGTTCCATTCTGTCCTGCTAAAATAACAGCATATTAAACAATACTATTCTGTCCATACCATTTCCACCTATTGACTAAAAAGTTAAATTCTTATTAAGCTAGTTTTAATTTACATGTCATAAGCTATTAGTTAATGGTTAGCTGATTTTCCTGGCATGAAGATTGCAAAGTGTATAACACTGAGTAGTGCTTGTGTGGGACCAAATGAGTTAAACCAGCTCCTTCTGCTGAAATACCCAGTGAAATACAGTGAGGGTCTGCATAGCAAATCTGTTTGCAACAGGTCACCAGTGTTTGCCCGGGACAGTTCATCCTGTTAGCAGGCACTGATCCGGCTATGGAGGAGATATGTGGCTTGTGCTGACTCAAGAAATCAGGTGCAAGTTGCATCAGGGAAGTAAGGAGTGGCTCACCTTAGAGGCAGGATGTAGGTTTTAGTGTAAGAACTGTTCACAAACCACCTTTAGAAGAAAGTTGGCGGGGGGGAAATACAGGAGGGCCACTTTGAAATCTGACTTGATAAATTGTTTTTCTTCTTGCTGCATCAGGGGCTTGTTCCAAAGGGGGAAGGTGTGGAATTGTTAACACCACTGAGGTGTCTTGGGAAAACATGCACTGTAGCTGCAGACAGCAGTAGTCCTAAGGCACGTTTTCCGGGGAGGGTTGGATGACAGCTGTTCATAAACTTTCATATAGTTACTCTCTTGTTCCTTCTTTATAGATCTGACACATCTCTCCCTGTCCTAAACACACGAGTTTGTTTGGTTTTTTTTCCCCCTCTCCTCTCATTTACCTCGATCTCATATCCTTCAAGATTCCTTTTGTATCTCTGGGCTTAATTCTATTAAATCCAGTTCCTTTGACTTTTACTTTGCCTGTGCTTTGCACTTGCTGCAGAGCCCAACAAACTTGGCAGCCAATCCTTGGGCACTCCAGAGAAAACAACTGTCTAGACCAGGCCCCTCCTGCCCGATGCCCTGGATGTACCCCAGAGCTCCCAGGCATTACTCTGTATTCAGAACAACATGTTGCTATGCAAATTATTCCTTTCTGTTCTTCCTCTTACCTACACAGAGTTACATGCCCCCGACTTCTCAGCAGGCACTAGTCTAATGTTTATTGATCTTTTACAGAGGTCTGATTCAAAGGAAGATTGATAAAATCTTGTCCGGTGTTTTTGTGAACACATAATTGCACCTGCCTCCTCCTAGGGAATGAGGCAAATGGGACTGAGGGAGCCCACAGAATAAATAGTACCTTCTGCAGAACTGGAGATAGTGCAAGCTGGAGGCCATCACTGCAAAGGTCTTGCAGAGCCTGTGGTATCCAGCAGAATTCAGGAAGGTGTGTTACCCTTTCTTAAAAGGAATGGAAGTCAAATCTTGGTCTAAAGACTCGTATGGCATGGGAAGGGCACAGAAGCTTTAATGCAAAGTTGCAAGCTGTGCCCGTTCCCAGTTAAAGCCCCTGTTGCCCTAGGCAATCATTGAGCCTGTCAGCATCCTGCAGCTTTCATACAGAGATGTGACCAAAATAGCTCCACAACTTTACAATGTGGCTAAAAATAGCTTGCAGGTCAGCTTTTTTCTCAAAGGTGGTGGTGACATCAGGGGGAGAGCACTCTTGCTCCTGTTCAGTGCAGGTAGAACTGGATAAACAAAGCGGGGACAGCAGCAGTTTGGCTGAAAAGCCTTGAGGAAAGAGAGGTGATAAGGGATGGAAAAGGACTGGGAGAGATGGGCTGAAGTGTCAAAGGCGTGGGTGGACCCACTGCTGCTGGCCAAGTTAGTGTGCTCATACCCAACTTCTCCCTGGGGTTTTGTTTCCATGATGTTTGAGTTATCAGTCTGTTCCTGTCTCCTTGTGGCCCATGTCAGGATGTGTCACTGGATGGGCTGGCCAGCCAGTGCAGCATTTCTTGCTCCTCATTTCCAGACAGTGAACACAGCCCATGACATCACCTCTGGCCAGCGGCACATCAGAGGCTAGGCCATGGCAATGTCAAGTGTGTTTTGCTGTGGCCATTCAACCAGAGAGCTGATCTTTTACAGTGTAATTTGCATGTGGAGAAATCTGGATGGCCCTTAGTTCTAGGGGGATTTCAGTATTTGTTCTTGGGCCAAAAGTAGGCTGTTTTTATGGGGTCAAACTGTCTGTTTTTGTAGAGCATTACGTTTTACCAAAGGAGCAAAGCTGCACACCATGATCCTCAGAGTTTTAGTCTCTGTTGTGTATACTAAGTCTGGCCATGGAGATGATTCTCAGCCAAGTCTGTAAGTGCCTGATTTGGAACGTTATGGGAATCTAATGTAGGTTATGTGAGGTTTGCCATGCCTGCAGCTCCTGTGCTGCTGAGGTAAGTGTACTGCAGCAGGCTGTGCTAGTGAGACTTTCCTTTGTGCTGCAGGTTTCATGCCTGGTGCTTTCATAGTGCTGAAAGGACAACAAAAATGTGAAAAATCGAGGGCAGGTCATTACTGTCAGATGAGGACAGAGTCCTGTAGCCAGTCAGATGTGACAGAATGCACTTGCTGATGCTGCTACCAGGAAGCTTGAGAAATGTGACTGAGTGACAGCAGTGCGCATGTGCCTTTGGAGGAAGGAGGCTATGTGTGTGCTCTTGCAATGCTTTTCTCTGCCCAGCAACATCATTGCTTCTTTTCCTGGTGTTCTGTTTAAGCAGCTGTTCTGCATTTATGATCCAATCTATTCTTCATACAGGGCCATCTTCACACTGAGCCACCTTCACTGCCACTATCAGAAGGACTGATAATACCTCAGGTTTGCTTTGAGTAAGCACTATAAATAGGGCAAAAGCACTATAGTTACCGTTCTTTTAAACTTATAGGACTGGCCTCTGTCCCCACCTATTTAAAATGGCTCCTGTTGCCTCACAAGAGGGAGACTTCAGCCAAATACATCTCTATATTGACAAGTATAGAGAGAATTATGCGCATGATCAGCTTGCAAGAATTTCATTTGATGTGCAGCTGGAAGTCAGCTGCCAATAGAAAAGGGAGCTCTGCATCCCTACTTGTGTGCTTCTAGTGCATTTAGATGCTACAGGCTACATTAATTGCAGACTGCAGTTAGACCAGGTTATAGGTAAAATCAACTCAATACCATCATGATGACCAGCTAGTACAGTCATTTCTGAGCACTGCAATTTCTCACCACAGCCTGCTCCTTCCCTTCAGTGAGAGCTGTTCCTTGGTCTGCCCTGCCCAGCTTGTAAATGTATCTCATCAGTCTCTGCTTCTTTGCAAATGAGCTGCGTAGGTAATGGGAGGAGGAGGAGGCAGCAGCACTGCAACCTGCCCATCTCCAGCTGGTCATAAAGGCTCCGTGCTCCTTTGGCTTTCTGAAGTTATTTTCCCCGTGAACCGTGTGGGTATAAAACTTTGTTGTTTCCTTAAATGCCCTGCCTTTTGCAACAGGTCATTTCCCAGGGGGGAAAACAGGCTGTTGATGTGGTAGGCACTCAGCTTGTCCTTTGGATAAGATCCAGAGGCGATTAGTTTGGGCGCAGCAGTGTGCTAACACAGGCAGAATGCACCCAGACTGGCTCCTGCCGAGATAGCCCCAATCTCTCCGCTGTCCCCACCTCTGTCCACGGCCCCTGGCTCAGTGTGAGCACCGGTCCCTGTCCCTCTCCCTGCCTGTGCTGGCACGCCCACAAGGAAGCAGAATTTGCACCCCATGCTGCTTGCCCGTGTCCTGATCGGTACCAGCCCTCCCAAAGCAAACAGTGATTTGCCTGTCTGCTCTGACTCAGCTGTGCTGAAGGCAGGAATCAGTAATAAATCCGGTTCAGTAAAGTCCATAGGTAAGGAACAGCCTTCTCTAGCAGATACTGAGGCA